GGGCGCCGCCGGCGACGGCGACGCGGACGCGGCGCTGGCCGCGCGGGCCTGCGAGGGCGCGGCGCGCGCCGCGGACCGCGACGGCGCGCTCCGCGCCGCGCGCGCGGCGGCCGACGCGGCGCGCGCCGACGCGCGCGCCGCGGCCGAGTCCCGCGCGCGCGCCGCGGAGACGCGGGCGGCGGAGCTCGAGCTGCGACTGCGCGCGCGCGACGCGGACCTCGACGACCTCCGGTCCGAGACCGAGGGCCACCACCGGCGCAACACGCGCGAGATCGTCACGTCGAAGCTCGGCGTCGCCGAGACGGCCTACGCCATGGACGTGCTCACGATGCAGTACAAGCAGCTCGACCGCGAGCTCGCCCAGACCAAGGCGGACCTCGCGGCCGCCGTCGAGGACCTCGCGAAGGAGCGCGACAAGCCCAAGGCCTCGGGGGGGCTCTTCGCGAGCCTCCGGGCGCCCCGGCCCCTCGCCAAGCCCGTCCGATGACAGGGGCGCCCTCACCAGCCACCGACCCCCCCGAAGGAGCCCCGCTCGCCCGGCACGAGGGCGACATCGCCCTCCCTCTGGACGCGCGTGGCCGGCCCCGGCTGCTGAGGGCGCCTGGTCTAAACCGACGGAGCCCCCCCTCGGAGTTCACACAGAGAGCTCGAGGCTTCTTCACAGAAAACTTCATCTTTACCCAAACGCAAGGACGACCCGAAAGGTGAAGGGGCTGCCGATGGCGGACGCCGGCCGCGTCAATGCGAAGCGCCGCCGCGTCGACGCCGCGGCGGCCTCCGTGGAGGTCTTCGCGCACGCGGCGTTCGAGGCGCGCGACGCCGGCGACGAGGCGCACCAGGACTGTCCCGCGCGCGCCGCGGCCGTCGCCGCGGCGGCGCTGGGAGCGCCCGGCGCGGTCGCGGCGTCGGCCTTCGCGGAGGCGTCGCGCGCGGACCTCGAGCGCGTCCACAGCGCGCGGTACCTCGACGTCCTCGAGGCCGTCGCCGCCGACGCGCGGCGGGACGGGCGCGGCGCGCAGCGCGCGCTGTCGCCCGAGCTGCGCGCGCGGCTCCTCGGCGCGGCGCCCGCCGGCCCCGCCGGCGGCACGCCGTTCCGCGCGCGGACGCTCGAGGCCGCGAAGCTCGCCGCGGGCGCGGCCTGCGCGGCCGTCGACGCGGCGCGGCGCCGCGGCGCGGGCTACCGCGCGTTCGTGGCCGCGCGGCCGCCGGCCGGGCCGGAATCAAATCTTCAACCCGACTTCAATGTGCGCGTATATATCGACGGTTTCGACGCGCGGCTTTCTGCCGTGCTTCGAGAACTCGACGAGAGCGATCGATTCGTCCAAAAGTCAGCCCAATCGACTTCGACCCCCCAGCTCACTGCTTGATTTCGGCACAGGCCGCCGGGGCACCACGCGACGCGCGAGGGCTACGACGCGGCCGCGGGCGGCTGCGGCTTCTGCGTGCTCAACACGGCCGCCGTCGCCGCGGCGCGCGCGCTCGCGGCGGACCCGGCCGCGCGCGTCGCCGTCGTCGACTTCGACGTGCACCACGGCAACGGCACCGAGGCCTGGGTCCGGGCCGGCGGCGGCGGCGGCCGCGCGCTCTACGCGAGCGTCCACGCCTACGAGGTCGGCGACGACCCCGACTTCGACTTCTTCCCGGGCACGGGCGCGAACGAGCGCGGCGCCGGCGTCGTCAACGTCGCCGTGGCGCCGAACTGGGCGCGGCCGGGCGCGCGCGACCGCTTCTTGGAGGGCGTCGACGGCCTCGCGACCGCGCTGCGGAAGTTCGCGCCGACGCTGGTCATTCTCTCCGCGGGCTTCGACGCGTGCCGCGGCGACGTCGGTCAAGAGACGCCGCCGGACGTCGACAGCGCCGAGGTCGACGGCGTCGGCCTCGAGCCGGCCGACTACGGCGACCTCACGCGGCGGCTACTAGAGGCCGCGGGCCCCGTCCCCGTCGTCTCGTGCCTCGAGGGCGGCTACGGACGCTACGCGCCGCCGACGTACGACCGCCGCGACCTCGCCGCGAGCGTCCTCGCCCACGTCGCCGCGCTCCGGGAGCGGCGCCCGTAAGGAGGATGAGGTTTAGAGCTGCTGGCCACATCGGCGGGAGGCCTGGCGGGCGCAACGCCAGGTAAATGTAAACTTCCTGAGGTCGGAGAGCCGGCGCCGAGCTCTCTCCGCCATCTCCGTCGCCGGTAGACCGTCTCCGAAGCCGCACCGCAAAAGGACGCGCCCAACTGCGTTAAAAACCGATGGCCGCGAGCCACCCCGACTACCCCATGTGGAGCGCGCTCCTGCGCTGGTCGCTGACGCAGACCGACGGCACGGACGAGGCGCGGGCGCCGCCCAAGGCCATGTCCGCGGAGGACCGGGAGTTCCTGACCAAGGTCATGAAGGAGTGCACCGTGGACCACGCGCAGCGCATCGGCGCGTGCCTCGAGGCCGTCGCCGCGTGGACCGCCGGCGCGCCGGGCGCGCCCGACGTCGCCGCGTGCGTCGCGGCGTTGGAGGAGATCGAGTACTTCATCGAGGACCTCGACTTCGCGCGGGACCTCTGCAAGCTCGGGGGCATGAAGGTCGTCCTCGACGCGCTGGCCAAGGCCGGCGGCGGCGACGTCGCGCGCGCGGCGGCCGTCGTCGTCACCGCGGCCGCGCAGAACGACCCGCCGGTGCAGGCGTGCGTCGCCAAGCTCAAGGGCCTGGGCGCGCTCGTCGCCGCGTGGCGCGGCGACGCGGCGACGCGGCGCACGACGCTGGCGGCCATCTCCGCCGTCGTCCGCGGCAACGGGCCCGTCGAGGACGCGTTCGCCGCGTCCGGCGCGGCGGCGGAGGTCGTCGCCGCCGCGCTCGGCGCCGTCGCCGGCGGCGACGGGTCCTCCGACGCGCTCCGCGTCGCCGCCAAGGCCGCCTTCCTCCTCGACGCCCTCGCCTGCGACGCCGGCTCGGACCGCCTCGCCGCGCTCGCGCCCGCGTTCGCGGCGGCCGCGGACGCCGCCGCGCGCGTTTCCGCGGCGGCCGACGCCGACGACGAGTCCGCGGCCGCCGCGCGGCTCCAGCTCCACGAGTTCCTCGCGAGCGCCGCGAAGCGCGCCCCCCCCCCGTAAGGACGCGCGTTAGACGACGGCGAGCCGCGGCCGCCGGTCGCGCGACAACGCCGCGAGCGACGGCGCGTCCCGTCGATCGCCGCGGCCGTCGGCCGGCGCCGGCGGCGCGCGCCGGTCGCGGTGCCAGCGGAGCGCGAGCGCGGCGGCGAGCGCGAGGGCCGCGGCGGCGAGGCCCCGCGCGTCCCGGGGCGTCGCGATCGCCGCCGCGGCCGCGGCGGCCGCCGCGAGGCCCACGACGACGCTGCGCCGCGCGGGGCCGGGCAGCGCGGCGAAGAAGCGCCGCAGCCGCCGCACCGCGGGCCGCCGCCGCGCCGCCGCGCGCACGGGCAGGTGCACGGGCGGCGACTCGAACTCCTTCTGCTCCGCCAGCTGCAGCGGCGTTCGCTCGGTTGCGCGCCGCGGCGGCGGACCCATGGCGCGGCGATCGACACGTCGAGCGCTTCCGGGCGCGCGGAGCGCGGCCAGGCGCGGCGACTCGTTCGGCCGCGAGCGGCCAGGCGCGGCGACGCGTTCGGCCGCGCAGGCTCAGCTTGTGGGAGCTTCGGCAGTTTTTGATGCACAGATGTTGACCAAGTTATTGAAGGGGGAGCACACCCGAAGATCCCGCCGGGGAAGGCGCGGGCGGAGGCCTAGCCGGGGATCTGGCGAACCACACCGGCCCCCTCCTCCACCCTGAAGATCGTGCGCGCACTCGGGACGGAGGCGGCGGTACACTCGCGCCACGCCTGGTACCACCGCCACGCCGAGAGCACGCCGGGACTGGCGCAAGGCAGTAGCATCCTGAGTCGCCTCATTCAGACGACACTCAACGGACTCTCCGTGGACCGGGGGAGGTTGAGAACGAAGGCACCCGCACCCGACGGGCAGGACGTCCGGCTCGACTAGGCCGATTCAACCTCAGGACCACAAGTGGCTAGCCGAGGGCACCGCCGAAGAGGACACCCGTAGTCAGCGGGACCGAAGAGAGCAAAGACGCCGACGAAGAGAGCGAAGACGCCGACGTCGACGGAGCCGCACACAGCGCCACGCTACGAAGAGACGCTGCAGAATGCAGAGAAACGAATGGACACGGGCACATCGAAGCCCGCACACCGAAGCCATCGAGGGCGCCGACCCCACCAGCTCCCCCCAAGACTCACGCCGAAGGCATCCGAAC